TTAACGTGGAGGTCGCGTGTTCGATCCTTGGATCGGTGCGGACGGACAGATTGTTGTCTGGAGTGAGAATGCAATTCTTACCTGCGTAGCAACCAACAGTGAGGTCGTACATTGTATGGTGGCTGCGTCTACACACCCTGGTTGGGTGCACGTGTGTGACTGGGTACACCGGGTCGCGGGGAAAAACGAGTACCCGCGTTGGGGTGGGGTTAAGTACTCATCTTGGGGCTCAACTTTCGCCCCAGTCCACTTAGCCGTTTGGTTGAGTGTGTACCTCTTAACGTGGGGGTCGCGTGTTCGATCATTGGATCGGTGCGGACGGACAGATTGTTGTTTGGAGTGAGAATGCAATTCTTACCTGCGTAGCAACCAGCAGTGATATCGTACATTGTATGGTGGCTGTGTCTACACACCCTGGTTGGGTGTGCGTGGGTGACTGGGTACACCGGGTCGCGCGGGAAAAATGAGTACCCGTGCTGGGGCGGGGTTAAGTACTCATCTTGGGGCTTAACTTTAGCCCCAGTCCACTTAGCCATTTGGTTGAGTGTTTACCTCTTAACGTGGAGGTCGCGTGTTCGATCCTTGGATCGGTGCGTCCTTGGATCGGTGCGGACGGACAGATTGTTGTCTGGAGTGAGAATGCAATTCTTCTTTTTCTTCTTCTTCTTCTTCTTCTTCTTCTTCTTCTTCTTCTTCTTCTCCCTCTTCCTCCCTCTCCCCCTCCCTCTCCTTCTTCTCCTTCTTTTTCCTCCTCTTCTTCTTCTTCCTCCTCCTCTTCTTCCTCTTCTTCTTCCTCTTCGTCTTCTTCCTCTTCTTCTTCCTCTTCGTCTTCTTCCTCTTCTTCTTCTCCTTTTTCTTTTTTCTTCCTCTTCTTCTTCCTCTTCTTCTTCTTCTTCTTCTTTGTCTTATCAACACGGTCGACCGAGATCAACTCTTCCCTTATCTTCGTTGTCTATATTAGGACGGCGGCGGGCTCGTTCATTCTCCCCTCCTCCTAGTCCCCCTTCCTCTCGGCGTCGTATTGATCCAAAACTGCCTGGTTCCTTGTCTGACCGACAACCTACTCTGGTACGTCGACGACATTCGTCAATTAAACGCCGACCGCGCCAAATCAGACCGGGCCTTCCAGTGGTGACCGATTCAGATATGCGAGCAGATCTACCAAACATTTGTGGCCTGACAGCCACGAATGTTTGTCTGCAAGCTTATCAGCGTCAAGGTTATACTGTATCTCAATTTGTTACAATTGCTTATCAGCTTGACGCTGTTGAAAATGAGTNTCAGCGTCAAGGTTATACTGTATCTCAATTTGTTACAATTGCTTATCAGCTTGACGCTGTTGAAAATGAGTTGTTGTATGACCATAATGGTCTACCCCCTGAGGATAGTAATTATACTACCTCAGGAGGCTTTACTATAAATGTCTTACAGTTAGCATTTCACAGTCGCCACCTTCTTATGCATTATGCGAGGCCAGGCGAGAACCCGAATGCCCATCCTCATATTTCTGCATTCATTTTGCACAAACCCAGGCATTATATGGCACTCATTCGTGCAGCTGCCCAGTGGGAACTGTGGGATGGTGGGACGGTGATTCAGGTTGTTGTTAACATAAATGAATTCTTGCGAGGTTTGTCTAATCATACACGATTCTGGACTGTTGAGCGTCTCTCGTGCGACATTTGTCGGGATAGGGACGTGGTGCGTCTTGGTTGTGGAATGCATTATCTGTGTCAGCACCATTATGAATCCATTGCGACTGCCGCCGTATGTGCGGAAGGGTGTCTAACATTTCCTCATTGTGCACATCCCTATCACCCAGATGTACGTTGTCCTTTCTGTTCCCAAGGACGTTATCAGAACTGCATGATGCCGCACTGTGACGAACGTCCTGCTGTCTTCTTGACATGTGGGCAACATGTCCTCTGTCAGGATTGTTTCGATGGGATGGTTCGTGCTAGCCGTCCAGCTGAATGCTGTGCTAGGGCAACCGTCCTTGGGTATCCCTGTGAACATCCCCGTCATCCTCACCGTAGTTGTCCCATCTGCCGAGGGGGTGACAGATAAAGTTTAGAAGAAACAGATAAAAAAAGAAACCAAGTAAAAAGATAAATAAATAAAGAAAGAAACCAAGGAAAAAGACAAAAAAAGAAACCTGAGAAAAAAGAAAAAAGAAAAAAGAAAAATATGTTCTGTGGGATGGTAAGATATATGTATATCGTCACAAAGATATCAGAGCGCAAAAGCCAAAAAAACGAAAGGAAACAAGAAAGATATCAATTCCTTTTTAACTTCTTACTTACAACTCCCCCTGTTCAGAACCATTTTTTATCTTCTTACTTGTCACTCCCCCTGTTCAGAACCTCTTGCGTACAAGGCCGCCCACGTGGATGTGGTTGGGCGGCGGCTGCCCCCACCCCCGTGTGTCATATCGACCCACTTGCACACAGCCGAAAGGCAAAGAGGCAAAGAAAGAGGAAGGGAACAGCCAAATATAACAAAACAGGGGGAAACAAACATAACAGATCCTAAAGTCCCACAGGCAAGCACCGCCCCCTACATCACAGGCCAAACGACGGGACAATGACCCACCAGAATATCAATCAACACCCTTGCCTGCAAAAAAAACAATCCCAGATAACAAACCATTCGTGCTCGCAATCATAGACACCCTATCATGGTTTCGACGCAGGCTTCGCTGGTCTAAACTGAAATATTGGGACACCACCAATGGCAAAAAATATAAAGACAATCCCAGATGACGATTCCCACCTAAAAGCACCGCCCAGCTCCTTCAATAGGCCGAACAACGGGAACCAGCCAACTACGATGCCAAAAGGATTTTAAAAAAAAGAACCTGGATGACAAGTCCCACATGAAAACACCGCCACGTGGCCACCCTATCCTAACTATGGCCCACCTTTGGTAATTTTTTATTCCCACGTGGATGCTCCCAAGAGTCAGAGCTGCGGCCTCTACCAAGATGAAAAGCATACGTTTTTCCTTGTATAGAACACTCACAGGCATCATCAACATGCTCAAGCTGGACATGATTTCCGAAATATATCGCCACAGATCAGACTGGTTATACTTCACAGATCAGACCTGATATTGTAACAAATCGCATCTGATATATTACCACAGCTGCAAACAAAGAGCG